GCACCGCACGATGGTGGTGGCTCCCACGGGGATGTAGCCGGCGTCGCACTCGAGCTTGGCCGTGCTGCCGTAGGTGAAGTTCTCTGCGAGATGCAGCTGCCCGTGGGTGATATCTGGGACGGGACACTCAGCCTCTGTGGATCACCAGACAAAAGGGGCTTTTCAGGGGAATTCTTACCGAATTCAGCCACGGTGACCAACCGTCACTGCCCCTCCAGCTGGCACGTATGAGAAGAAGCAGCAGTTTAACAAACGCAGTGATTGAGGTAGAGAGATTGGGGGTCAATAACTGTGCTTGAGCAGCTGTCATCATCAGGCCTCCAAAGATGTAGCATTTCCATGGCACACAATCAAAAAGCTCTTTCTGCCCTTTCCTGGCAGCACCAGCTCTGGCAGACGGCAGTACCACTCACCTGTGTGCTCAGGAGTGGGGTGACTCCAGGGTGCTGGCACCCCATCTCCAGCTTCACAATGAACAAGTGTTTCTCCAACCACCACGTAACTTCTATCACACACGAACATCACTGATGTTCCAACAAAAATCTTTTTTGTCCAGCTGCCCTCTCTCCCATGAGAAATATTTTGGGCTGGGTCACAAACAGTAATAACAGAGAAAACTAAACTAAAGGCAGCTGTTACTGGGATTTCCTCATGCCTTACAGTAGATGCTGGCAGGTCACCACGACACAACACGCCTCTGTTAAACACATACTCGGTTCACACCCTGGTACAGCAGCAACCCGGGCACCATCACACCTGCACTGTGCCAGGGCAGCGCTGGCGATGCCTCTGACACCCATACCCATGGAAAGATTGTCTCTGTACTCATGTGTCTTCCCCAGGCCCCAGCTTTGGTGCTGGGACATGGGTATTAGGTATTATATTTGGGTTGGGACAACAGACTTCTGAGAACCACTGTGAATTAAAAAAAAAAAAAGAAAGAAAAGAAAAAGAAAATGGGTGTAAAGGCAGTGCTGGGTGCTGGGCCAGGGGGCAGCAGGTGCCTCTGCAGATGCTGTGTGCACTGGGGAAGTTTCTCAAAAGGTCTGCTTTTAAAGGAACTGTCAACTTCTAGGCAGAAACTGCAAGTTATTCCCCTTCCTAGAGACACTGACCCATCAGCAGTGCCCCTTCTCCTGGGCTGAAGCCAGCTGCGGGGTGCAGGATGATGCACCAGCCACCTGCAGCATGTCTGTAGGCTGCCTCAGGGCTTCAGCATCAACCATGGCATCAACCCACTACCACCTACACTGCTAACTATGACCCTTTTGATTAAACAGTAAAAAATATTCCATGTCTAATTGACTCTCCCCGTCTTACCACCATCCCCATCCTGAGCCCCAGACCGTAAGAACAGCCTCCGACCCTGGGAACAACTTCTCAGCTTCCAGACAGATGATTGAGGCCGATGGTGTCATACTCCCTGCGACACAAGTTCTGAACCCCAGACCAGGAGAAGTTCTACAGATGAGACCTGGTCCCAGGCTGTCCCAGGGACACACTCAAAGCCTCTGAGCCAGCCACCTTTAACACTGGTCCCAGGAGGGATCCGTACCCCAATGTAAGACACTTGAAAAGCATTGGGAATTCAGTGGCTCTTTGCAAGTATCTTTGCAAGCCACTGAGCCCAGATCATCCTTACAAGAACAGCAGGCACAGAACGAGGTTG